ACAGCTAAGATGCTGAACAACAGCTCAACCTGGAGCTGGGCTGCCGTGAGTCGCCCGTGACGGCGTAGGCTGCAGCCCCTGCTGCAATGGGCTGCCATAAGCTACTGTGCGTGGCAGGCAGCCAGCGTGAGTGTCTGGCAGCCGGTGTGAGCTGCCAAGAGCTGCCGTGAGTGGCCGTCCAGAGGCCGGCGACAGATCTGCCTCAGTCAGGAAGAGCACAATGATGATACCAACCTGGGTCAGTGAAGCGACGTCCTCCACAACTAGACTGAAGAACCAAAGGACAGCAACTTGCCTGTTCCCCTTCCCCCATTCCCCAACGCTGTTCCCCTCCCCCAATTCCCCAATAAAATCTTTAAAAAACAAAAAAGAAAAAGAAAGAAAGAAAGGGCAGGAGGGAGGAAAAGAAATCTTCAAGCCCAGAAGGTTTCCCTGGGATCTTCTACCAACCATTTAAAGAAGAATTAACACCAATTCTACACAATCTTTCAGGAAAAGAAGAGAAAATACTTTCCAATCCAGTTTATGAAGTTAGTATCACCCTGATACCACCAAAACCCAACAAAGACAATAAAAAATTAAAAAATTGCAGACCAATTTCCCTCATGAATATAGATGCAAAGCCCCTAAACAAAATATTAGGAAATATAATTCAGCAGCATGTGAAAAAAATTATACACCATGATAAAGTAGGATTTATTCTAGGGATGAAAGGATGGCTCAATATTTGAAAATCAATCAGTGTAATTAATATTAACAAGCTAAAGAAGAAAAATCACATGATGATATCATCCTCACATTCATACCTCCAGACCCTGAAATGTCCTAGGACTCCGTCCCTGGGCCCCTTTTCTTTCCAGACCTATTCTCTTTTATGACTCCTACATTTATACTTCTAGCCCAGATCTCTCCCTTGAACTCCAGACTCACAGATCCAATTGCCTATGAGACATCTCTACTTGGATAGGCATTTCCAAATGGACATGTACAAATCTAACCTCCTGCTCTTACTCCTCAAGTTCAGTAAATGGAAATTTACTCTTTCTGAACTGGGGAAATGCTCTTTCCTCAGTTCAGTAAATGGAAAAATCCATTCTTATGGCTGCTTAGGCTAAAACCCTTGGGGCCATATAAACTCTTGTTTTTCTTTTACACCTCATATCTAATCTGTCTGCAAATGCTGTTACCTCTTCTTCTAAAATATCCCCAGAATCTGACCCTTTCTCACCACCTCCGCCCTGGTCTGAGTTATCCTTTCATCTGGGTTATTACAATAGCTGCTAAAGTGGTCTTCCAGCTTCTTACACCCTTGCACCCTTACTATTTTCAACTTAACAGCCACAAAGCTCCTCCTTTGCTCAAAACCATCCACTTGACATTTCACTCAGAGTAATATCCAAAGTCCTTACTATTGCCCCCAGTGTGATATGACCCCTGGTTACTTTTCTGAGCTATCTCTAGCCTTCTGGTTCTATCACTCTAGCCTTACTGTCCTCTTTGTTGTTCCTCAAAAATGCCCCAAAGGGTCTAACCTCAGGACTTGGTACTTGGTTTTCCCTCTGCCTGGAACCACATTCCACTACAGAGCACAAGGCTTGTTCTCTCATTTCTTTCAGGGCTCTGATCAATTGTCACCCTATCCGTGAGGCTTTCTCTGACCAGCATAATAGATTCCTATCCACCCATACATGCATTCCTCATCTTCCTTCACCCTCCTTGATTTTTATTTAAGGCACTCATCTTTCTGACTCATTTTATACTTGCATGTTTATCTTCCCCTGTAAGCTTCCGAGGACTGGATTCTGACTGTCTGCCTAGAATAGTGCTTCAAAGATGCTCAAAATTATTAGGTTGTCGGAAAAGTCACGATGCATTTTTGCAATGAAAAACATAGAAAAAATACGTCATGGCTTTTCCGACAACCCAATATTTGCTGAGTGAATGAATGAACCACTGGCTTGGGAGTGAAACATTTGGGAACACACGTCAGATAACTTTGATTTGACTCCTGGTTCTGTCATTGCCTATGTCCAAGTGACATTGTACATGCTCACCCATGCTTTATGGTTTTTCATTTATCAAATAGTGATAATCCTCACCACATAGCACTGTGGTAAGGATAAAATAAAAGAATGTATGGAATGTGCTTAATGCACAGTGACTTGCTATCAAAGTGCTCAGTGTATGACAGTGTTACTTAATACACAAAGATGGTTTAGATTTGGACTCAAAGGCCTTAGGTTATGATTACAACTAGATATTGACTGTGACTTTAGGCTATTCACCTCTTTTATGTTAATTCACTCAATCAGCTATGAATCAGGTGCTGGGGTAAAAAAGTTAAGATGCAATTTCTTCCCTCTAATCTTAACTATGTGATCTGGGGTAGGCCACTTAACCTCTCTCAGCCTAAGTTTCTTCATTTGCCAAACGGGAATAATGAATGTAATACCTACTTCAGAGCTCTGTCGTAAGGATTAAATGAGTTACTATGTGAAAACACAATGTCTAGTTCACAGCAACTGCTCACTATGTTGGCTGTGATTGATTCTAGTCTGGAGGAGTAGAAGCATCTAAACAAAGAACTACAATACAGTGCAGTAAGACCAAAACCGGGCACCAACTACAAGGCTATATCCTAACTGAAGTTTGTTCACAACTGCTAAGTTCCATGATGACTAGGGAATTTAAAAATTCCATATGTCTACAATAACCTAACTCCCTACCACCACCCCCATAGAAGAAAGATAAATTTCTCTGCTGATTTAATAACTGGAATTTAAAGCTTTTTAAAAATAGGAAAGGGGTTCTGAGTCTCAAACACTGTTTTTTTTTAAAGGAGGTCAATGTTCCCATTGACTTCTCTGCCTCCACCCCCCAAAAAGTTAACATCACTTAAATTTGAGACACAAATAAACCCCCGGAGGGCAGCACGTGCTTCTGGGAACAAAGCAACCAATTAAGAACCAAGAGCAGAAAAGTGTGTTTTATGGCGGTGCTGTCACAGTCCAAACGTCAGAACTGGACATTAAAGGGTGGTCCTGGAGCCGAATGGGGAGCTCATCAGGTGAGAAGGGGGCAGTCACCTTTGGAGAAGGAACAACAAGAGCCAAGGCATGGAGGCGTGAAAAGTGCACGTGGGTGGCTTGGCAGAACCAAAAACAAGTTTTGGGGGGAGGGAGGCCAAGGAGCAGGGCATGTATGTTGGAAGGGTGCGGCCTGGGGCCTAACATGTTAGTTGAGGGAGAAGGCCCCCTCTCATACCTAGGTCGTGATCTCTCAGCCTCAGTGTCCCCTCAGGATCCCCCTCTAAGGGCTCCCAGTTGCTGGGCTCCCTCTTGCTCCCGCCACTCTCTTCCCTTACCTTGTCTTCCAGCCTCTCCCTCACTCTCCCGCCTCCTCTTCACCGTCGGAAGTGACGCGCTAACTAGTGCGCCGTACAGCGCCAGAAAGGTTCCACGGGAGCGGCAGAAAGGGTTCGGTGAGACTTACTGCGCCGGCGTGCGGGCGCGAGCGGTTAAAGCGCCTTCCGGAGGCCGCCGAACTGCGTTCCTTTCCCCATCTGTAGCTTTCAGAGTGCCCTGAGAGGATCAGAGAGGCCGCCGCCACTGCAGGGGCGTTTTCCTACAGCTTTCACCCCTCCCGGTGTCCAGCTACTCCGGCCCTTGCCCTTTAACCCTGCTTTCGCGGTGGGGTGAGAGGTCGGTGGCCATCTTGTGGCGGCGGCGCGGGCGGCTGTTACTGCGGAGACCCATCCCCCCACCCCCTTGCCCGCCTGGCTGTCTGTCAGTCAGTAAAGAGTCCCGCAGGCGGTCAGGTGAGGCCCCGGCCTCGTGCCGTCGCTCTTCCCGCCGCACTGGGCGGCCCAGGCCGCTCCCTGCCGGGCCTCACCGCCGCCACCATGTCCTCCTTCTCGGAGTCGGCGCTGGAGAAGAAGCTCTCGGAGCTGAGCAACTCCCAGCAGAGCGTGCAGACCCTGTCCCTATGGCTCATCCACCACCGCAAGCATGCGGGACCCATCGTCTCGGTGTGGCACCGCGAGCTCCGCAAAGGTAAGCACCCCCTCCCCACCTCCTGGAGCCCTCTCCGGGTTGTCCTCTCCCCCACCCACTGCTGAGGCCCCTCTAGCTTCTTCATTGAGCCTTGCTTTCCAGGCCCGGGCCTCTGATTGCACTTCTGAGGTTGGAGACAAGTGTTATCCCCATTTCTCGGAGAAGGAAACTGAGGCCCAGCTAGGTTTACGGTACTCGTCTGAGGTTCCACCGACCAGGGCTCCAGTGCCCAGGCGCCCAGTTCACCCAGCCATTTCCCGTTCGGGCTTCTAACAACTTGTGACTATTATTATCTCGGCAACGTTATGCGCCTTGTGGAGGGGCCTGGCCCTAGCCTGTTGTGTGCCAGGCGTTTTGCTGGGCATTTGGAGCCAGAGCCAGCAGACTGCCTAGATCGAGTCCTGGCTCAGCCACTCACTAGCTGAGCGAATATTGGGAGAGTTTCTTCATTTCTACGCCTCTGTTTTCTCATCTGTAAAACGAGGATGAGGATAGCTGCCACGTACAGAGCCTGTGTTTTGTGCCGCTCACTAGTCCAAGACCTGTTTACATATATTCTCGCACTCAGTTCTCAGAACAGCCCTGTGAAGTGGGTAGTTAGTCCCAGTATAGAGACGTTAAGGGGCCACATCACCGAAGCTCCTCTTCTCATGCAACTTTCATTGATTCTAGACCCTTCTCAGGATCTGACATTCATTGAGCTCAGCCTGTTATGTGCCGGGCACTGGGTTGGGTGCATGAAAGCATGTTGGCTCCAGAGGCCAGCTGTCTGGAATTTAAGCCTGACTGATATTTACCGACCCCAGCAGCTTAACTCTTTGCCCCTCAGTTTCCTTCTCTATAAAATGGAGATGATATTAACCGATTTGCTGTGTGCCTTTTAAGTGCCACGTGCAGTACTGATATCTTTACATGCATTGTCATTTTTTAAATTCTCAGAGTCCTATGAAGTAGAAACTTGCAGATGAGGGAAATCTGAGGTTCATACAACTTGTGGTGAGGAATAAACAGGATAATCCAAGCGAACATCTAGCATGGTGTCTGGCACAGTGTAGGCATTCGATAAATAATAATGTTGAGATTATTGATTGCTCAATGTGAGGCATGGTCTTTGCCTTCAAGTAGCTTGCAGTCTGGTGGGGAAAGATGGTCACTTACACAGCTATCTGATACTCGGAAAGCTGAGGAAATGAAGCTTAGAGCTGTTTTGGGCAGCCTGTATGTGGTAGACCCTTTATAGCGTAGGAAGCAACTTTACATGTGTTCTCTACTATCCGTGAGGTGGGAATTCTACCCTGTTTTACAGATGAGGAACCTGAAGTGGCAAAGTGGTATTTTTAAGGCCTTGGAATTGGTGAGGTTCAGACTACATCAGGCTGGCAGGCACCAAAATCCAGGATTCTTCCAGCAGAGAGGGCCTGCCCCCC